GAAATTATTAAACCCATTATTTAACCTCAGTGTTACTCTTAAACAATAATAGATTTTTATTAGATCCGCCCAGATTTACATTAATCTTAAAGCTTCAAGTTTTTGTTGGAACATGGTTAAAAGGAATGAAGAAAATAATGGAATAGGAAGTTAGTGTAGCTCAGTTGCCTTGGGGACCTTCATGTAACTCCCTCTCCAAGGCCTTTGTGTGTCTTTCACTGGGTGAGCTGTTTCAAGGTAGTTTGCATGCCAAGATAAAACAAGCCATCAAAAGACAGATCTACAATGATCAGAAGGAATGGTTAATTCCTCTCCCAGGCCATGTATTTCTACCAATCAGCAAATGCAGTTTTAAAATTTGTATCTAAAAGAGGAAGTGTCTGCCAAGGAGATGAACGTGGAGCCTCTTATCCTTTGGAAGAGTCAGGCAGAAATAGGAGTCTGAAAACAGTCTCAAGATTGAAAACTTAGAAGCAATTCCTGGGTTAATGAATGAATATATCCAAGGATTTTTTGAGTGTATTGGAGAAAGAGGAATAAAATGTCTGATACTTTAGTAAACTTTGAATTGTGTGATAACAGAAATGAAAATAATCTTCCAGGTCCAGATATATCCACGTGTTATTTAAACAAAGTCAAGGATAAGAATAACATCCTATGTGATGGAGTACTGGGGTCTACCATATTCAGATGTGGGGGTACAATGCAACGTGCATTCCTGCTTCCAAACGAAAGGGGTACTCCAAATGAAATTGATGGAAATGTACAGACAATAGGATGCTGGACTGCCTGACACTGTCTGTACCAGCAATGTCGGGGAACACTTGAATAAGAGACTGATGGAATCATGACTCCTTACAAAGGACTATACTATTGTAGCAACATGGGGAAAATCTGTCGTGGGGGGTGGGTGTTTGGGGGGAATCCCAAATTAAATTAAATTTAATTTAAAACAAAGAATAACATCCTATGAAACCTAGAAAGAAATTAATCCTGACTGAACACAGACAATATAAAATGTTTGAACTCTGAGGTTAAGGACTCTCTTAGATAGATCAAAATATGTAGTATTCTATGTCTTTTTAATATGAAGGGAATTTCATAAACTTCTTATTGCAGAGTTTTTGATCATTTTACATAACTATTTTCACATTTAAAACCCTGCTGGATTTCTTTTTATCCTTGGATAACCTTCTCTGAGCAAATTAATTTCTGATACTCAAATCTTATCTCTCTCCTACATATTTTCCTGATTTGAACTGGTAAACCCTAACCTAATATCCCACCTTCTCATTTTTCTTCCTGCTGTCTATCTGCTCTTTGTATTCTGGTTCCAGGAAGCCAACCAGCTTGTGATATCAGGGATAAAGAATTAGTATAATGAAAAGATGTTGATATACATATTCTTCTATTTTGGGGAACACATTTATCTACAATTTGTTCAGCATATTAAGTGTGGTATTACCAGGTTATAGGGTATGAGTATTTCCAATATCGGGAGTCAGTAACTAAATTTTCTAAAGTGTTTTGTCAGTTTCTGTTCTTACCAACAAGATAAATTTCCAGTTGTTCCACATCTTCTCCCAATATTTCATATTTCCAGGCTTTTACTGTTAGTTGTTCTGTCAATTCATTATTCTTTTCAATTGCGAACCATCTCTTGAAATGTCTACTGTTATTTTGAATTTTCTTTTTTTACAAAGTTTCTGTGTGTGGTCCCTTATCATAAGACCGCCTGTTATTTCCATACAAATTCATATCAAGAGTCTCCCCATAAATACACAGATCTAAAAAAAAAATCTGTTTTACTAATTACAACAAATGGATACAGACTAAAATCAGCGAGAGTACTCATAGGTAAACCTGGGAGAAAGCAGACATACACTTCCAGATGGACAATTCCAGTGCAGTATCATGCAGATGTGTTTAATTCTCAAAAACAACTGCAAAGTGCTTTCAGCCAGAGAAGCACACCCAGACAGGTGCCCAGGGCGCCATGGAGTGAGTCCCAGAGGTGACTGACTGCCCTCAACAACTCAGACTCTTGTCCCCAAAGGAAAGCTGGTGTTTGCCATGAATCATATTTTTAGCATAAACTATCGAAGTGTCACCACATAGCTTAACACCTAAAGCCATTCTTATCAAGCAGACTATTCCAAGGACTCAAAGTTCATAAAATGGGAGGGGACAGTTATAAAAATATTCTTAGAATTGTGTAGAGTTAAGCAACCCAGGCTGCTGAGGTAACTCCTGTGCAAATTTGTAGAAATGATTTGTATATTATAGACTGAAGTTCATTTCTTTTGAGTTATAGCCATTATCATCTATTATATGCTTGGCTTTCCATTGTCTTGATAAACAGAAGTTCTTCAGTTTATTTTAAAATTTTTAATGGATTTATAGAAATTGTTCCTATTTATGGGGTTCTGTGTGACATTTCATTAATATATATATACTCTATCATATACAAAGTAAACACATTTATCATTACAGACATTTGACAATTCTTCATTGTGAAAACATCCCAAATCCTGTGTTTTGCTTAGAAAAGTTCTACATATGATCTGTTGTCATTCTACTATGCATTCGAAGCCCAGAACTTCTCGTTACCTAACTAGAACTTAGTACTGTCATCCACTTTTCCTATCTTCCCCCACCGACTTCTTTCCCCAGCCTCCAGGAGCCATCGTTATATTATTAACTCCTGCGAGATCATGTGTTTTTCAGATTCCGCATATGGGTTAAATTGTGTAGTGCTTGTCTTTCTGTAACTTAACACAATGACCTTCAGTTCCTTCCATGTTGTTCCAAATGACAAAGTTGCATGCTTTTATGGCCTTTATGTTCCATTGTGCATATGTATCACATTTCTTTTCTTCATTCATGAGGGGATGTACACTTGGGTTCTTCGCATTTCCTGGTTGTTGTATTGCTGCAGTATACGGAACAGTTCAGGTATCTGTCCAACAGATGGATTTCATTTCCCTCAGAGATGGGATTGCCTTCCTGCATGGTAGTTCCGTGTTTAGGTTTTTGAGATACCTCTATACTGTTTTCCACAATAGCTGTGCTAATTTATATCCCTGCCACAAGGTGCAAGTGTTCTTTTTCCACATCTGCAATAGTTCTTGAAAATAGTCCTTCTTGAATCTGGTGCAATGGCTCAATGGGTAAATCCTCATCTTGCAAGTACTGGGATCTTATATGAGTGCTGGTTCATGTCCCAGCTCCCTGTATCCATTCAGCTCCTTGACAGTGGCCTGGGTAAGCACTGGAGGATGACCCAAAGCCTTTAGACCCATGTGGGAGAACTTGGAAGAAGCTCCTGGCTCCTGGCTTTGAATCGGCTCAGCAACAGCCATTGTAGACATTTGTGGAGTGAACCAGCAGGTTTAAGATCTGTCTATCTCTTCACTAATCTGATCTACCTTTCCAATAAAATAAATCTTAAAAAACGATGGCTCAGTGGCTAAATCCTCACTGTCTATGTGCTGGAATATCAGATGGGCGCTGGTTTGGCTCCCAGCTGCTCCAATTCCCTCCACTTCCCACCCAGCTCCGTGTTTGTGGCCTGGGAGGGCAGTAGAGGAAGGCCCAAAGCCTTGGGCTGCTGCACCTGCATGGGAAACTAGGAGGAAGCTCCTGGCTTCAGATCAGTTCAGTCAAGTCATTTCAGTCACTTGAGGAGTGACCCAGTGGACAGAAGATCTTTCTCTCTGTCTCTTCTGCTTTCTGTAAATCTGCCTTTTCAGTAAAAATAAAGAAAAATCTTAAAAAAAAAAAAAAAGAATCTTACTAAAGTGAGATATCTCACTTACTGTTTTGATATTGTTTTGACTTTAGTGATGTGTAAGAATATTTTAATTTACCTATTGATAACTTAAATGTCTTTCTTTGATAAACAGCTGCTTAGCTCTACTTCCCAGTATTAAATTTCACCTTATGTTTTCTATTTTGTTGTTTGAGGTCCTTATATCATAGATTGCATTTATTAATATTACCTTGTCATCCAAACGTTAGACCCCTTCCCTTCTTCCAGCAGTCCCTTTAACTTATCTATACTTGTGTATAGGAAACTCTTGGATTATTTTGGTTCCTTTTTTTAAAAAATTTCTTTCTGAGAGGCAGATGTTTGGAGAGAGACAGAGAGGTGAATTATCTCCTGATTCAATCCCCAAATAGCCACAAAAGCCAGAGCAGAACTTCTGGATCTCTCACATGTGTGTAGGGACCATAGGACTTGAGCCATCCTCCATTGTTTTTCCAGACCATAGGTAGAGAGCTGGATAGGAAGTAGAGAAGCTTGGTACTCAAACTAGCATCCATATGGGATGCTGGCACTGCAGGCAAAGGATTAGTCTGATAAGCCACTGTGCCAGTCCCAAACTTTTGGATTTTCATGCACTAAACCACATTGTATATCTGGTGAAATTATCTTTAGATCTGTATAGCAGGGGATATATTTCAGTCATTGCTACTCTAATCATACACTAGGTTTGACAGGTAACTTTAGGTTTCTTCAGACTGTACCTATAGCAAGTGACCTCATTGTAGTTTCCATGATACCTTATCTTCTGCAGCCTGGCCTAAGTGTTCACAAGGTCCCAGTAGTATACTCACATTCATATTCGTTTCTCCTGAGACTCCTTTATGTAACTCAGAAAATGTTTTACTTTTTCTTTCAGTATAGAAAAATTAACTTTCCTATCACTGAGTATTCCTTTAAACTCTTTGTAATGATTTAATGTAAGCTCACATTCTTTTGAAATAAAAGTTTATAAAATCACCTTATGCAATAGGAAGCATTTATATTTCCTGGTTTTTTTTAATATTTGTTGTTTAGAAACTCAATAGGCTCTTTTGTAATAATTTATAGTTTTCATTTTGTCTGAAATGATAAATGCCACCAATTTAATGGCTGAAGGGCGAAGGAGCAAATAGTGAAAACAGCAGAAAATTACACACTTGATTTAAGAAAGTGAAAACAAATAGACATGGTAAGAAAAAGTAATGGGACTTTAATAAGAATGTTATAGATCCACAATCCTGGAGTCTCATGGTTCGTCACGGGTTGACCTGCATAATTGCAACAATTTCACGGTAAACTTGCTCGTAGGCATCCATCCCAAACAAAAAGTCTATATGATTATAGTAAGAAATAGTTTTATGGTAAATGTGGTATTTGATTTCTGATCGTAAAGTTTCAACATCTTCTGGGTCAGCCAGCAAATCTTGTTCACCATTCCAAGTGGCGGTTGGCACTGTCATATTTGTCACACTGTACAATGGGGATGTTGTCTAGAAAAAGAAAAAAAAACAAGGAAAAAAGTTTTCACAGGAAATGATACCTTAGAAGGCCACAGTTATTAATTTTTAAGTTAGGAACTGAAACATTATTTTTAAATATGTTAGATCTTGTGGATTAAATTTAATGGGATTATGCAAGCCAGAGAATATGGAAGAATTGGTATTACAGATTTTACTTACCAAAAAGTACATAAATAAGTACCAGGTATTTTGTTGTAGTTTGAAATATCCAAACTTCCATTGAAGTAGTTTCAGTATTACCTTAAAGTCTAAGAATATTTTTTTAAAGATTTATTTTTTTTTTTTAGTTGGAAAGTCAGATATACAGAGAGGAGGAGAGACAGAGAGGAAGATCTTCCATCCAATTATTCACTCCCTAAGTGGCCACAATGGTAAGAGCTGTGTCAGTCCGAAGCCAGGGACCGGAAGCCTCTTTCTGGTCTCCCACACAGGTGCAGGGTCCCAAGGCCTTCGACTGTCCTTGACTGTTTTCCCTGGCCACAAGCAGGGAGCTGGATTGGAAGTGGGGCTGTTGGGATTGGAACTGATTCCTATATGGGATCCTGGCATGTGCAAGGCAAGGACTTTAGCCTCTAGGCTACTGCGCTGGGCCTGAAGTCTAAGACTATTTTTTTAAACATTTTCCAGTATGTTTATCAGTGAATTATAAATACTGGAAGTCAGTTTCAACTCTGATCTCATTGAAATTGATCCTCAAATTTTACTTAACACGTACATGAACAAAGCACATCTGGCATGAAATTTGGCTGAGGCAGACAAGCACAGAGAAGCATAAAATCAAAGTCAGATTTGGGCAGGTTTCCTACATTCTTATCAACATTTAAGCTTTTACTACTTATACAAGTCTCTGACTTCCCGAACAAACTGCTTTTAGGGCCAAAAATATACTATACCTTTTATTTTGTATTTTATCAAGTATAGAGCCATGTGTATCACAAGCACAATATTTTTCCTCTTGAGAGTTATACATGTGCCTATAGCCTGTCAATTTCTTTAAGTTTATGTAGGACATTGGTTGTTAACATATGTGCAAAACATAGAAAAGCTACTTCAGTTGAGTGTGACAATATGGAACCAAACAGAACGATCCCTATCTGCTTGTCTTTCCTCGTGTTATAAAGTCCTGAGGATTTATGGATGATCTTTAATCTGTAGCAAAATCATATGAACCAGTAAGGAAGACAGATGACATCTGGCTTATCCACAATTATGTACCTGATTGAAATGAAGCAAGTTCAGTTCAGGACTTCCCCAGTCAAAGGCTTTCAAACGACTAGAATATAAAAGCTGCAAGGAAATTAACAATAAAATCGTAACACTTGTTCATCACAGTGGCAGGTAATGAATGTTAGGGATGTGCTACATCTGTTCATTTCTGCTAGTATTGGTTTAGGTGGATTTCTTTTGGGTAGTGTAAAAGATGGGAAGGCTCGGGGACTCAGAGAGCGGGGTGACAGTATTGGAATTGAAAGAATATGCTTTTATCATTCTCATGCAAATTTCCATATTCACAAGGTAGTTTACAACCCAGAGGGGAACCTGTTTTGGGGATCATGTGAGACCTCTTCCAAAACCCTTAGTTTCTTCAGTGGGGGCCAAAAAATGAATTCTTGCACTGGGACTGAGTCAACACGGGTTCAAACACTGGGCTTCAGAGCCCAGGAGGTCATCCCTTGCTTTGTGCCTTCACACCCTCAGCCTTTTCACTCCTGTTTACCTTGACATGATTAAATCTAATTGAGTGATGCCATTTCCCCTAACTAAGTTTTCATTACAATGTCAAACTCTCAGATGGACCATCTTTTGCATTCCAAAAAGTCTTGTAAGGCGTCAGATAGTCCCAACCTTCCAACACTCCTCAATTCCTGAAACTCCCTCTGCTTTCTGGAATTCCAGCATCAGCCAGATGTAAAATGTTTCTCTGTTTGATACTTTAATTTCTTGCTTTAATTGCAAACTGGCTTTCTCTGAGACTTCTTTTTGTTTCTCTTTCTCTCAAGTGGCACTATCTTTTTTTCTCCCATCTACCAAGCATCATTGAGATCATTGGATTATTTTTTTCTCGTTATATCGTCTTTCAGAAAACTCTCACTTCTTTCCCCTCAAGGGGTTTATTCCAAACTCTGAGTTTCTCATGTCATTCATTCACTATACTTTGCTGTTTGTGTCAATTGTTAAGCTGCTTTTTATTTCCTGTTGGCTTTTAAGTTTTTTTGAGTTCCTCTCCATTGATCTAGTCTTTCAACCTGCACCAAACATTGACATAACAATATAATATGCAGCAAATAGAATAAACCCTTGGGTACCAGTGATCCCTCCAAAATCTAGTTTTTAATTCATCCTCCTTTAAAAAAAAAATGCCTGCTAATCTTCAATTTTAAGGCCTTGAATCCATTCATGCTGTCAGTTGGTTATTACACTTTAGTCCCTTGATGTCCTTTTTCTTATGCTTACCCAGATAAATTCCAATAATAATTAAAAATATTCACTTACATTACACAATAATTTTCCACTTCTATTATACCATCCTACTTGCTTCACAAAAACACATTCTAATCTCCACCAACTACATGCTTATAATAATGAGACCAAACAAAATATGGGGAAAAATGCAAAACTGTGCAAACGTAATCACTTTAAATTTGCTATTGCAAATCTCTTGTGGGAAATTAATTTTGCCCTACAACCATGTTCCAATTCTGTTGTTTATTTATTCTCCCACTCATTTAGGCAAATTACTTCATAGTGCCTCTTCTTTACACTAATTTCTCTCCACACTCTCTCCTTTTAAACATTATTGTTGTCCTTGTCCATGACACAGTTTGTAGATTTAAGGATTCCCGCCTTCCCTTCCCCCTTTTTCCCCTCTCACCTTCCCCTCCCACTATTCCTCCCACCCCATATTATAGCAGTATAATCCTCCAGCAATAGTTCCAAGTTCAGCATTCTGCTATGCACATGTACCATTGCACAGAAGGTATAGACAAAGGCAGAAAGTCCAGTATCATATTATTGAGATATATTTAACTGTTTCACTGGGAACCCTTCTTTTATTGAGGAGTAGAAATGCATAGTGCAAGGTATCTTCACTTCCAGGTATGCTGGCCTCCGTTATACAGTTCCTCTGTGAGATCTATGAGAGGACATTTGTCCTTTGGGGATTGGCTTATTTTATTGAGCATAATGATCTCCAGTTGGGACCATTTTGATGCAAATGATAGAATTTCATTCTTTTTAATGGTTGAGGAGTGTTCCCTGGTGTAGATATACCACAGTTTCTTTATCCAATCCTCTTTGGTCATCTGGGCTATTTCCATGTATTGGCTATTGTGGAGTGTGCTATATTGTGTATAAATATAAGGTTGTAGGTCTCGTTCTCATATGCAGATTTCACTTTCTTTATATATATTTCCAGGAATGGGATAGCTGGCTTATTTATTGAAACTTTGTTTCCTGTTTCAACAAAATGCTAAAAAGCAATCATAAAAGATCTTAATTTAGGGATTTACAAATCAATTTTCACATCAAAAAAAAGGAAGACAAAGCTTTCTTTTAATTGAAGCTACTCTGTTTCTTATTAGATCCTATCTATCCAAGCACTTTATTCTTTTTCTCTCCTATTTCATGTAATTTCTCATCTTTACAGATGAAGGTACTAGTTATTTCTTTGACAGATAAACAGGTGACAAATAGACGGATAAACAGATAATACCAAACTGCCTGTGTCTTATTACCAGAACCCTTGACCAGCAAGCTTACTTTTTTCATAACAAAATTCCACAGAATTCTATCTGCAATTCCTCTTGCAGTGATTTTCAGTTATAGCTAAATACGCACAGAATGTTTTATTTATCTATTTAAGGTCCAATTTGATGACATTTGTATCATTGTTCATCTTTCCTTGATCTAGTTTCATTATAGCTTGTCCTATACCTCTATCTAGTGATGTACCAGAGGTGTATATCAGGAGCCAATTGCAGGCATCCATTCCCATCTGAGGATAGTGGCGTGACTTGGTAAGTTGAAATCAACCATGGTAGAAAAGGTTGCACCACTTAAACAGGCAATACCCTTACCATGAGAACCAGTTCTTAAACATTTACTGGAAAATCCCATTTGCATCTCTCTATCAAAACCTTAACATTGTTGTTTATAGCGCTTGTGAATTCTTTTTGCATGTTGAATATGATGGTTAGTAATGTATTAAGACTTAGATATAGAATAGGTTGAAATTATATTTTTGCAAAAAAAAATTAAAGCAAAAAAGAATGGAAGGAAGATCGGGGATTGAGACAGAGAAAAGAACAGAGAGGTATGGTTGCTCCTGAAAATCATGAAAACTGTTCTTTTTATACTAAAATAAGTTTTAAAAGAGGCAACAAACAAACAAAAACTCCTTTTACCTAAAAAATCCTGGATTAAATGAGGCATCTTTTCACCCCAACTACAATGATTATCATCCAAAAATCAAAACACAGTGAATTCTGGTGGAGATAAGGAGGAAAATGTATCCTAACCCACTGTTGATGGCAATGCAGACTAGTACAGCCATTATGAAAGAAACTCTACTGAGATTTAAAAATAGACTCTTGGAAATTTATCCAAATGAAAAGAATCAGCATATCAAAGAGTTATTTGTACACTCACATTTATTACAGCTCAATTCATAATACTTAAGCTATGAAGCCAACCCAGGTATCCATCAACTGATAACTGAATAAAGAAAATGTGGCACAAGAATACTACTCAGCCATAAAAAAGTAATGAAATCTTGTCTTTTGCAACAAAATGGATGCAACTAGAAACTCTTCTGCTTATTGCAATAAGCCAGTTTTGAAAAGATAGATATGTATTTTCTCTAGTATGTGTTAACTAATATAGGACATACAAAAGTATGGCAATGAAATGAGGACTGACAAGATGACAAATCAGGTTAACCCTCTGCCTTTAGCATCATGTTCCCATGAGGGCTCCAGTTCATGTCCCAGCTGCTCCACTATAATCGACCTCCCTGCTACAGGCCCTGGGACACAGCTGAGGAATGGCTGAAGTCCTTAGGTTCCTACAACCATGTGAGAGACCTGGAAGAAGCTCCTGGCTTCTGTCTTTAGACCCATCCCTGCTTCTGTCATTGCCACCACATGGGGAATTAATCAGCTTTTGTAAAACTTTTCTCTATCTTCCTTTCTGTAAAATCTACATTTCAAATAAAAATAAGATATATTTTTTAAAATGTGGGTATGAAATAATCATTTTGGGGTAGGATTGATGTTTTAGTCCTTGTTTATGCTTCAGTGGAGATGTGGTCTTTTTATTGTTTTAAATTATGATTAGTAGCAAATAAGCCTGCAAATAGTGAATGTTTCCAAATTATGTCTGTACAAATACAGTTAAAGAGAGGGAAAGGAGACAGGGCCGGCGGGGAGCAGGGGAGAGAGGGAAATGAGATTGTCTTCCTGGAGCTGCACCTATGGGATGTGTAAGATATGCTCTCTTTATATTAACAATAACATACTGACCACTTCTGAGTTTTCTCGTATTATCTATCAGTGGCACTTCATGCAATTGTTCATTCCCACATTCTTGAGAACCTTTCTTTACTTAGGTTTTAGAATATCATAATTTCTTGATGTTAATTTTTCACTTAATGCTGTTTTAGCCAACTTGACCAGTTCAGCTTCTGAAGCCTGACTTCCTAATTTTTCACATCTCTGCATCATTGTTCATCTTCTCTATGTCTATGCTCACTTAGTTTGCATGCTCACCTATGAATTTTAAATACTATATTCAAAAGGCCTGTTTTGTTTAAAAGTCTGTACTAAATCATAGGTTCCAGTCTCAACAGCTTACTAAAACTCATTGCTTGAATATCTAAAACTTAACATCTCCAAAATGAGATTTTACCTATCCTCCAAACTTATAAATTCTCCTATCTCCTTTAATTTTTTTTTCATTGCTTAGATCAGAACTAGTATTGCTAAAATTATTAACTTATTGCTAAAAATATTTTCATTACTTAAATCAAGAATTTTAGTATCATCTAAAATTCTTCTTTTCTTGCTCAAGAACCTCAACCTAAGACCTGAAACCATAAAATTATTAGTGGAAAATATAGGGTAAATGCTGTAATAATTGGCCTAGACAAGCTACCTGGGTAAGACTCTAAAAGCACTGGGAATAAAAGCAAAAACAAGGAGGATCATGTCAAGCTACAAAACTCATGAACAGCAAATGAAACGTTTAACAGAGTGAAAAGAGAATAAACAATGGGAGAGAATATTTGTAAGCTACACATTTCAATAACATATGTTCTAGAATATACACAGAGTTCGGAAACTCAGTGATAACATCAAAGCAAACAATTCAGCAAGGAAGTGGGTGAAGGGCAAGAATAGACGTTTTGCCAAGAGTGAAACACAGAAGGCCAGCAGGCACATGGAAACAGGCTCAGGATCATTCGCCGTCATGGGAATGTAAATACAAACCACAATGACATATCACCTCACTTTAGTTAGAATGACCATTATTAAAAAAATGTTGGTGAGGATACAGATAAAAGTGTGCCATAATATAATGTTGGTGGGAATGAAAATTGACACAAACATTATGGAAAACATAATGCCGTTTAAGAGAAAATCAGGTAATGAGGGTTTGCTTCTTTCTGTGAGGGCCCAGCTGACAACTGCCACTTGGAATCATAAAGTAGGTTCTCACCCAGACGTTGAATATTCTAGGGCCTTGATCTTAGAGCTTCCAGCATCCAGAACTGTGAGAAACAGATTCCTACTGTTATAAGCTACCAGATTTGTGGTATTCTGCCGTCGCAGCCTGAACGGATGGAGGCAGCAGAGGTCCACTTTGCTAATCCCCTGATGTCCTACCTCCTTCAAGCCTTTTCTCAGCGTCCCATTAGTCTCACCCCTAAACTCACTCCCACTTTCACAAGGGTAGCATCCTCTTTCTAGCATACCTGATCTGTTTTCCATATTCTTATCCAATCCCATTTTCACACAGCTTTTCTCCTCTTATGAAAATTTTAACAAAGATTTCATTCTATGCTTAGTGTTCATTCTTTGTATATCTGCCAAAAGGGTGTAACCTTATGGAATACAGGAGCTTGTCTCTTGTTTACAGTATATTTCATAAGCATAGACCAGTACAAGGCTGGAAGGTGCTGAATAAATTTCGCTACCAATGATAAATGAATGCAAAGGCTGCTCAGATTTTCTTGGCTCACCCATCAACAGACATAAACTAAATGTAAAGTTAGGATAAATATTTTAATAATTCATAACAAATGATCATTGCAGATTAAAATATTATGTAAATGAGAAAGCTTTTGCTATTGATACTTTAATTTTATTGTGTTGGTTAACTTCAAAGTACAGTCATAATGATGATGCTGTTTAATTTTCAAACATTTTTGTTAGTTATGTCATAGAATTATTATTAATTCTATTTAAAAATTTAGGAGACCAAGGAAGACTAAATGAGCTCTTCAAGGCCACAGATAAGCTAAGGTTTAAAGAAAGGGTATATTGTTTGGTCCTTTGCTTTAAGCAAAGTGCCCTTTCTGTTCTGTTATCTTGGCTTTCAAAATTAAGATTGCTTTCCCACTGGAGTTTTTTTTTTTATCAAGATCATTCATTGAACAAATATTAGCTGAGTATCTACAATACACTAGGAATTGTTGGCCTTAGAAATACAAATGTTAATATGATTGTCCAGATGTCAACAATGTTAAAGAGAAAATGTAGCCTCAATGGTCTCTTTTCCTCAAGACTTTGAAGGAGTTATCAGGGAAACTGTGGCCTAGTTTTACAGTTTCATGTCTTTGTTTTTAAGGAGAAACTTTGAAACTATGGGTGCATAACTCTATTCACTGTTTAGACTTAAGAAAATTAATAGATTATGATATTAATGTGTTTTAAAAACTATTATAGGAAATATGCAAATAAATGCTAATTTCAGAACATCCTCCCAAATTTATCATCCTAGGGCAGTGCTGAGATCCTTAGAACAATAAGTTGAACTGTGAGTAATGTAAATTAAATTGTGTGCAAATGCACTTCATACCTGACTCCAGTGGACCATGTTTTGAACAGATGTTCCTGCTGGGTTATGTGAGAAATATACATCCAAGCGACTCTGAGGAGTTTTAAAAAAACATTTTATTCTTATTTTAAGCAGAGAAAGCATAATATTTTATATTTAATGAACTAAGCTATTTCGAAGACATTTGAAAACAATTTTACTAAAATATTAATAAATCTAGCCATAAATGATTAAACACATAAATGTATTTATTAAATTTTCATCTAAGAATGAAGAAAGATCCTGAAATTGAACAAAATTAACTTGTCCCTGTGACATGGTAGTGTACTTGAGAACTGAAAAAATATTCTCTTTCTTGGAATGTATAAACTGTTCATTATTGAGAAGTTACTTTTAAACATCTATTAATATAAAGAGATCAGATTACATGTTTTCATAAAGAAAACTTTGAGAAGTCCTTAAAAAACCTTATACAGAAACCCACTATTACCACAAATACACAACTTGCATTGCTAAATCTGGAGTTTAAAATATAATAAAGATATCTTAATGTCCACATTTAATTTATTTTATTTGTTTGTAAGGCAAAGTGACAGGGGATGGGGGAAGAAAAAGAAATCTTTAATCCATTGGCTCATTCCCCAAATGGTCACCCAGGCCAAGGAAAGCCTGGAGCTAGAAACTCAGTCATGGCTCTCCAAGAACGTGGAACTGCCAACATCTTTAACAGAATGTGCATAAAATGCCTTGTAACAGTAGTTTGATGACAACCAATTTATACTCCAAGGCAACTGATGAGCTGTAGAGGCTTGAAGGGTACAAGAGACAAAGTAATTATGAAAGGATCATAACTGAGGGAAGAAGTGTTAGGATCCAGCAGACAGGAGGAGTTAATGGGAATCTAGTGACTAACAAAAGACCAAAACAAGAGAAATCTCAGGAAACTAGTCACCAACAGCAAAAGCTAATAAAGAAGCCCATCACAGAAACTGCTCTCTAGTCTTTACAGACAGCAAAATACATAGGGAAGTGAAATAATTCCAATATGTCAATGCAAACTAGTTGCACAAATCAGTCTTGTAGTCAAATCAGTTCACCATCCAACTAATATATATGTATATTTTATATATTATATATATGTTTGTATATGAATCACACAATGACACACAAAGTATAATGTAAGACACTTATAAAGGCTACTTCCTGAGAATGGCAAAAATTCATTTTGAGTATCACTTGTTCTTACCATATTTAAGTTCTCTTGGTCATATCCATATATCATAAACAAGTTTCCAACACAAATCTTTTCAAAAATTGGTAGGGGACATAGCTTTGAACCAATAAATTTGTTAAATGAGGTTTTGGGTAAGAAGTCTTTGTCACCAGAAAATGCCTGTAAAATAAATTTATTTTTGTGTATGGAAGATCACAAAAATTACAAAACAAATGATACAGTGGAGCGGGCCTTTACCTTGGTTAAGACTTCCATGTAGGATTGGGACTTGACTCCAGCTGCCTTCTACTGCCAACCCTAGGGGGCAGCAGTGATGACCCAGGCAATCCTGCTGCCCACGTGGAAGCCTGGATTGCATTTCTAACTCCCAGCCTCAGACTAGCTGAGTTCCAGCTGACACAGGCATTTTAGGGAATAAGGTCTTTAGATGACTTAAACTTCAGTTGGTCTCTGTTTCTCTAGCATCCTTTAATTGATATGGTGAGTTTATTATGTATATAGCCAAATGACAAATTATTTCATAGCAACTTAAAATTTTTAATTAAGAAAAATTTTTGGAATAAAGCTGTAGAAATGATTTGACTACTAGATTTTCTCTCCCGATGTATTTAAAAGTATAGTGAGCAAAATTCTATTTCTTTGTAGAAACCTTTGTATGTGGGAGCTTGTAGAAAATTAAAAAACAAGAAAATTTCACTGCGCATTAGCTGTGTTGCAAATGCAATTTTTATCAAATTTTGCTTAAATATTTGTTAAACTAAATGAAACAAATTATAAAGTACTATGATTATAATATTTTTATTTTAAAATACATATGAATGAAATTGAACATCTTTTCATTTGATTATTACTTATAATGCTTCCTTATTTTTCTGCCCAGTTGTGGTCTTTTTACTTTTTACTTATTGAAGCCATTAGGATTTCACTATAATATGAAATTTAAAAACATGATCTCAGTGAAGCACATAATAGTTAAAATATATTTCACACGTGTGGCTATGCAGACAGAGTTAAGGCCCCTTATTTTGAAAGCACAGAACAGTTGTTATTTTTGTGTTATTAATGACGAAAACAAAAGGTAAAACTTACCTTGATTATTGGCTTCACCTTGTATGCCATTTTAAGTAAAGGACATTTTGTGTGTACAATAGAAAAAACTGGTGCTAAGGCAAAAAATATTTTAATTTTTTCAGCTATCTTTGGTAATGTGGAAAATGCTATGAAAGCTGAAAGTAAATAAGATATGATTCAGTAATTCAGTAAACTACTAGTAAGCTATTCCTTACAGGTAAAAAATAGTACTACAGAGAATAAGAGTAAGCCCCAAAATACAGTTTCTAAATAATTATTCATTTATTTCTTGACTCAGCAATTTTTTCAGTCATCTGTGGCACTACATTGATCACAATATATTGTCAGCAACTCGGATAATAAAACAGTATGAAAGTGTTAATTTAGCAATAAATCAGACCTGTAACAGCGTAAGTTAAAAACCGGGAATAAAATTGATCATTTGTATAACTGACAATGATGAAAGTGAGGTGAAATTTTCAGAAATACAAATTTTGCATGTTAGGTGAGGGGCCTATCACACAGTCTTAATATCACTTTCAGTATATTTTAAAACTAAATGCTTTGATTCTATACACATAAGGTAATAAAAATCAGGTTGAATTTATTATTTAGAGTTACTAGTATGAAAAGAATCATCTTTTCCCTTCTTGTCATCAAGTTAGTACTTACATATCTGTGTTTTAATTGCCAGTTTTTCTTTTTCAGTTGTTCTGAGAAGCTAAGAACTCAGAGCATTTATATCGTGTTAGTCCACTCTCTTTTATTACTCAGGTTTTAGACATCCTAGGTTCCAAATAATCAAACAGCTAGAAGTAATTTGGACGGAAAAACCATACACATGTTTAGTAAATATCAGTTCTAAATGACTGTGGAAAATGGAATTAAGATTATTCCCAAAAATGCTATTTCTAATATGAATTAGATTGTTCTTATAAGAAAATTGTACTCTTCATTGTAGTATCTCTAACCTTATAGTAATTATAGATATATAGCAATATTCTTTCTTGGCATACCTATGGTTGTGCCCTGTGAATGGCCTATATAAAATATCTCCTCTTGTCCAGTTTGTTTCACAACAAAATCAATGGAGGCTGGAATGTCATATTTAGCCATTTCATCAAAACTATAAAAGACAAAGGAAAATAAAAAGGGTACTTTATTTTTTTGAAGATTTATTTTATTTTTATTGCAAAGTCAGATATACAGAGAGGAAGATTTTTCATCCATTGATTCACTCCCCAGGTGACCGCAACGGCCGGAACTGAGCATATCTGAAGCCAGGAGCCAGGAGCTTCCAGGTCTCCCATGCAGGTGCAGGGTCCCAAAGCTTGGGCCGTCCTTGACTGCTTTCCCAGGCCACAAGCAGGGAGCTGGAAGGGAAGCGGGGCCGCCAGGATAAGAACTGTGTCCATAGGGGATCCCGGTACATTCAGATGAGGACTTTAGCTACTAGGCCACTGCGCCAGGGTCAGGGTACTTTATCTCAATGCCATAATTAATTTGAGGGTAATTGGTAGGTAAACAAATAAAGGCGAAATTCAACCTTCTGAATATTATCAAGAAGTTATAAGGTACAATGTACCTGTTAAACAGGGTCTTCTGTGTGGAAATCAAAATCAAGGAGAATTGATACCTACAATTTTATAAAACAGTTTTATAAAAGAGGGCATTTTATATTCAAAATGCAGTAAGCCATATTTATGAATTATAGACCAGAAAGTAGTTTAAGCAAAGACACAGCTAGCCTATTAACTACTATGTAAGAAAGAATGGCTGCTGAAAAAAGAGAAGCTCAAAGTCAGACAATCATTCTAAATAAATAAATTTACATATATTTTAAATATTTTTGGAAAAGTCCTGAACTGAGCAAAGAGTCAGACATATGTTTTATTTTACTTTATTGAAAAAGAAAATTAAGCGTTCAGTACAACCATAAAATAAAAATTACTTCATTTTACTTGTACCTGAAAGCCCAGAATTCTTTGGAATTGGTTTTTAGGTACCTATGTTTCCTGGACCAGGTACTCCCTCTGCTGTTTCCCATCCACACATCATAACCAGCGTCTGCCAGCACAAAGCCCAGGCTATTGTTGGGGAGATTGGAGACCCAGCTGCTGGCAGATGTGAGCAGACCATGTTGCAAATACACAACAAGTCTCTGAGCTGGAAAAGAAAAGCAAAAAATCTCCTTAAATTTTTTTGGTTTCTACACAAAAGTTTCTTCTCTGAATTCAAACTATTTTTTTGTAAAAGAAAAAAAACCAGAAGTAATAGTTATTATTAATTATTTCAAAAGCAGAGTTTCAGAGCCATAGGTAGTCACAGAGAGAGAGGTCTTCATCTGTTGTTTCACTGTCTATCTGGCTGCAACAGCAAGGGCTGAGCCAGGCTGAAGCCAAGAGCTGGCACTTCATCCAGGTTCCTCACAGGGGGAGCTGCTCAAATGCTCAGGCCCTGTTCATTGCTTTCACAGGTGAATTCGCAGACAGCTGGATTGCAAATAGAGTAGCTAAAATCAAACCACTGCTCAGACATCAGGCTCTAACTTCACAAGTGGTGGCTTAATTCACTGAGCTGCAATGGAGGCTACTCAATTCAAACTTCTAATATTAACAGTTTGAAGAAATTTTAAAATTTCAAAATATTTTAAATTGTTCATAGAAGTTCAATAAAGTTATTAATGTTTAATCTCATTGTATATCTGAACTAGTTAATAGAGTTCTCTAATGGAAGTCAACATTGCAATGTGGCAGGTTAAGTCACTGTTTGCAACATCAGCAATCCCAGTCATAGTGTTAGTTTGAGTCCCATCTGCACTTTTTCCAAATCCAGCTCCATGCTAATGTGCCTGGAGGACAGTGGATGATGGCCCACCTGCCATCTATATAGGAGATCCAGATGGAATTCCATGTAATGGGTTATAGTCAAAATGTAGGTACATAAAAATATTGTATAAAATTGGTTTCAGACTGTATGTAATAAGTGTATATGACATACAAATGCATTTAATGTTTAAAGTTGCATTGTGTCTTAAAGACAGTTTATTCTTAAGTGCATTTACAAAAAAAATACAAAATATAAGACCCTCCTATTTCTTAGCATTTCAGATGAGAATATATACACATATTCTCACTTACCCCTATATCATAAGGGATAATTTGTTCACAGGAGACTCTACTATGCCATACTCTACTTTGACAAGAGATTTAACAAGGTCAGAGCTTTCATAGCACAGTCCTCATATTCCTCTGAGTTCTATCAGAAATTTAGAAAACTCAAAAATTGCGACAGCACATTATAGAGGAAAGGATGAAAAGGGTTAGAGTATAGGAATGGGAATGTTAAATCACTCTAGTGAAAAAGATCAGAACACCTGCCAGCTCATTAACCTTACTTGGAAGGGTTTAAAGGGTACACATTCCATTTATGAGATTCATTCCTTTCTTTTCCTCTCTCTCTCCTTCCTTCCTTCCTTCCTTCCTTCCTTCCTTCCTTCCTTCCTTCCTTCCTTCCTTTCTTTTCTTTTCTTTCTTTCTGTAGGTGAATAGGACAACTGGAGATATTACAGCTCAAAACCAGAGAGCTATTTCTCTCGTTTGTGGGATATGGTGTCACTCCCACTCCAGTAATGTAAAATAACTGAACCAAACTCAAATAATGGCCTTTCAAAAACACATCAGAACATTACGTTCATAGAGCCAAAATCTGGATCCACTCTAAAAAGAGAAAGATGCTTCAAGACAAAGGCAGACATGAACCCTCCTTTGTTGGAGATGTATAAAAATAGTTTAGGTATGCTTGCAAGACATTGTGAAGTTCCCAGGTATAGCAGAAATTCAGAAAGTACACACTTTCCTGGAAACCTTTCCCAAGAACCCAACTGGATAGTCACAGAAAAAATTTCTGAAAGTCTTACAAAAGTATCTATTGTGACACTGACCTGTGGGAGGGAATAAAAACTATCTGGAAGGGACAAGTAGGTTTGCTCAGATCTTTGCCCTTATTTGCCTTCCAGAAGAATACTCAATCTCTGCCGAGTTTATGTGTGTAGTGGGACAATGGGTATGAAGAATCCAGGAAAAGCAGCAAACTCTGTGTCTAGTGCAGAAGCAGCACTAACCATTCAAGGATACAGGAAGAAATAGACAACAGAGTGTAGACAGCCACTGTTTTCAGACATCTAGACAATGAGGTCATGAAAATAATAGTCATAGTAACAGAGATAGGCTAACCAGTGATCCATCCCTATAAAGTCCCTCACGAAGGCAAACTGAGCTTCTGTCAGTGAAGTATGTCTGAAGAGACCTGATACGCTACCTCTTCTCCAGGAGATCAAAGTAGACACTGGAAAAATTGTTGAGTTCACTGAACACTTCTAATGCTCATGAAGATTACTGCACTATGACTAGGATTGATACACATTTTTGCTATGTTCACATCCAGCAGCAAGGGTTCACAGAAGATCTAAAATATTACCACAGAACCATTCACAGCATTATCCCAAATCAAGGGATCCATTTCATGTCATAGAAGATGCACCCATGTATGATGGTATACAATCATAGTATTTATGGCCTCACCGTATGGCCCCATCCAGAGACTGTCATCCTGTTGGAAGGACAACACATCTTTTGAAGGGTAAGTGAAGATGATGAGGCTTCCTGAGTGGTCTTTTCACAATTCACTATAAACCTTAAACAAATGGCCACAGTACACTATGGATTTCTTGACTCTGAGGAACAGGGTAGGATTCATCATCACCCAGGGATGTACGCCTACTGTTCTCACAATTTTAGATCCTACAGATCCAGAAGCTTTGATTCCCACAGAGCAAATGCGTGCATTCAGATATGGTAAGCATCCTGAAAAGCAAGTATGCTTCCTAGTTGGTCAGTTTAGGCTCCTGAGTATGGATGGCAAGGAGGCAGAAAAATGGATTACCATACCTGCAAGGGCTACTTGACCTTGATCAATCAAAAGAAGTAGGGTTGCTGATATAAATTGAGGAAAGTGAAAAAAATATATATTTTTTATTCAGGCCATCTATTGAAGTATCTTTTGTTATTCCTGTTCCTTATTTTTACTGTTCATAGATATAAGCATGACCTAATATATATAGTAATCCATAAGGATAAGGGCCTGGTTTATGCTGTCAGGCAAACTAGCTGAAAGGGAACAAAATGTAAAGTGAGAAGTGAGGAGGGGATTTCTGAGGAGTTAGAGCACTCGTGTTGATAATGGTTCACTGTTTCTTCTCTTTGTGTAGACTTGCTCTCTGCCTAATAAGAATTGCCTCATCCAGGATATTACATTGTTTTTTCTAGAAGTAGCCTTCAGGCAATGAATGAATAATATTGGAAGACAAAAAGCTGACTCCCTAACTTCAAAGTGGGACCATCTGCTATAGGCAGTAAATAACATCCATGCCTCTGAGTTTGCTGAAACCCAGCTGAGACCACATCCTTCTCAACCTCTTTCCCCTCTTTGTATCCCAATAAGAACATTACTTTTTCTTGAAAGTAATCCTTCAGCTAATCATATGCACCCAAATTCCTCTCACAGGCTCTGCTCCTAACACATTCTATCACACCTGCTGTATTTTAAAATCATCTTTAAACATCTTATTGTAGTACTTGCAACATGAAGATCTACTTTGAGAAATACTATTATGTAAAATATGTGCTAAAATTTTCTGCCTATTAGATATGTTTTTTGTAAGTATCCAAAACTGAATTGAGGTTGTTTCAAAGTATAGTCTTCTCTGAAGTGTACTTTAGTAATCAAGTAAGAACCACTATTCTTTAAGAAAGTTTTTTTTTTTTTTCAGGGAGAAAATCTAAAGAGAAAAGAAAAACAAAAAACTTTGGCTTATATTTGGCCAGTTAATCACATTAGAAAAGTAGTTTATTCCATATTCTGTTAGTGAGTGTTAGATGTAGGATTACAGTTCAGGTCCGTTGACAACTGGACAGTGTTTTGTGCCACTCTCTACTGACACCAATATACCTTGTGTTGCATAGCCCTGGGCTGCTGCCAACCAGTCTGTCTATTATTCGAGGATTGAATCAGACACAGAAGGAAGTTTTAACATCCTTCCTTCAATTCCACAAAATAATAATACTATGACATTTGAAAACAGTCTCACCCTTATCAAAGAAAATTCTAGAGAATAAACATATACAGTGATTCACAAATAAGCCTGGGAGGATTAATTTGTGTTCCACTAAATTTTGAAACTTCTCTGTAAACAGGAAGCTAGTGGAGATTTTCTTCTTGACACCTGTCTGGTGATGCTCGTCTCTGTGAGAGGCTAATTATTCATTTAACATCAACATTCTTACTCTTAGAACATGGGGGGAAAAGTGGTAAAGAACTCAGGCTCCAGATAGTCACCCCTTTATCCTCAGTTGAATATTACCTGAGTTATTGTTATTTGCTTTTCCATAAGGAATTCTATAAAGTCCCAGGATATAGCCATCTTCAGTTACAATATCATACTTTTCATCAGGATAGCCCCAGTAGGATATAATTTGGCTCTGGATAAAGAAAAAAAAAAAGCAAATCTTTTAGCAAATATTATTAGCTGATTAAGTTAAAGGGTGTATGTTTTCTAACCCATTATATAATCATAAGTCATGGTTTTTTTCTCTCAACCTCAGTCCTGCTGTTTTTAATTTCCTCTGATTTACTGATTCAAGCAGATAATAAGTGTTGTAAGCATTGAACAAGCCCTGATCTTGCACATCGGGAATTCAACAACAAAAAATGAAAATAAACAAAACCCCCCCTCCAAACTCTTATCCTCAAAAAGCAGTCTCAAAAACTAGACCACTAATTTCCCCCAAGTTCAATAATTCACTTTCGCCTACTCATCCAAATACAATTTAAAAATGTATGTGTATCTGCAAAAGCTTGCATATCCATGTATGTTCTCATCTTACATGTGGTATCTTTTATATTTGTGACTATGTAAAGAGCAGAAGTCCTCCATGAAGATATAGATACATACATGAGTATATATATGTATATATATATATTTAATTTTTAACTTTTATTTATTTTAGGGAGTGGAGAGAGGGAGGAAGGAATGGAGGGACAGGGATGAAGAGAGAGAGAGCATTCTCATCTACTGGTTCTCTCCTTGAGCAGCTGTAACAACCAAGGATAAGCCAGATCATGCCAGGAGTGAGAAACTCAGTCCAGGTCTCAATGGGTGGTAGGGACGCAACCACTAAACCATCACCTGGTGACTCCAGAGGTGTCCATTATCAGGAATCTGAATGGGAGCAAAACTGAGACTGGAACCACAGGCATTCAGATACAGGATGCAAGTGTTTTTAATTCTAGGCCACATGCCTATTCTGCCCCCGTTTGTATGTATTTCATTATAGAGATTGAGTAGGTTGAAAGGAAAACTGTAAGCTATGAAATAGCAGGTGAAAAATATTATTTTACCTGTCACTATATATAAGTGTAGGTATGTATTTGTGTGGTTATAAGTCTATTATCTTAAAAATTCCAACCCTTGAAGATATTAAGCTTTATTTATCTGATATCTCAGCAGCCTTGATTTATTTCCTAACAACTCACAATATTCATGTTTGCTTCAGGATTTACAGATCTTCGATTTCGAAAGGCACCATGGCTATTTCCAAAAGGTAGGATGAAACACATCACCATGAAAAGACACCACATTTGAGATCTATGCACAAAATAAATAAATAAATAAATAAGTGCTGGTATTACTAAAATTAAGGCAAATAATCATGTGATGTAGGAAATATTAAAGCTAGCTAATTGTATATAAAACTGGAAGTGCAGATTTAAATTTGGGGTCAATTTCTAAGTCCAGCATCTTCTCACTGCCTTATTTTAAAACAGAAATTCCTTATTGGGAATCTCTGGCAAAGCAATGTACAGCCCCATTTTGAGAGCTTTATTGTTTATTTCATGTCAGTTGATGTCTGAAGTAATGATGCAGTAGTATTCTTACCACAATAACATTTATTTAAACAATATTTACTGCTTGCTTTCTTAATGGGCAGGAGTGAAACAGTCAGATTTAGAAGCTTGGATAACTTCCATTTAACTTCTTTAGGTCTGAATTTTATTTTGCTTGCAGAAATATGTATTTTGACTCTCCTAAATTCTGAGCAATCAGGACATGTAAATTCTTTCTAGAAAAGTAAGAAACCATTTAATTAGAGAAGCTCCCACCCATCTTTTCCCCTTAAAAGCACAACTTCCAAGAAGCAACACATTTTGTAAGTCATACTCAGCATTCTACCTGGGAGGATGTTGCACATGGATTTTAAATTCTTGAGCTCCACAACTAAGTAGGTGTCTTAAAACAGGTTAGTTAACCTCTGTGAGCAACAGATTCCCTACCTATAGATTACAAAGAATGCCTACTTCTCAAGGTTGTTATGGAAGCTTAATTTGCTATTTGTTATAACATATTTTTTAGCATAAAAGCCATCACAATAAAATCCTTACTAGCAATTTAGGAATATACTTTTCATGCAGATAATCAATATATTTCTCTGATCTCTTGTCAAAGACTAGGTGGCTGTGCATGTGTGGGCTCTCTTCCAATACTTCTATTCTGCTTCATTGATCTTCCTCGTTGTTTTCATACCGGTACCAGCCTGTTTTGATTACCATCCTAAGGTCTGGGATTATGATCCCTCCGGATCAGTTCTTATTCTACAATATAGTTTTAGGTATTGGTGATTTCTTGCATTTCCAGATGAATTTTTAAATCCTTTTTTCCAGCTCTGTGAAGAAAGTTCTTGAGATTTTGATGGGAATCACATTGAATCTGTACATTATTTTTGGTAATATGGAAATTTATGTTGACTCTGCCCATCCAGGAACATGGTCTGTTTCTCCATTTTTAAAAGTATTATTAGTTTTTTCAGTGTTTTGTAATTTTCTTCAAGCAGATCTTTCACATTTTTAGTGATTATTCCAAAGTATTTAATTGTCACCTTTGTTATTTTCAAAGACATCACACTGACTAGTTCCTTTTCAGCCCTGGAGTTGTGTATATATACTAGGGCCATTGACTTATGTTCATTTATTTTGTACCCTGCCACCTTACCAAACTCATAAGTTCTAACAGTCTCTGCATTGAGTCTTTTGGTTCTCCTATGTATAGAACCATGTTGTCTGCAGTTTGCCTTCCTCCTTTCCAATTTTAATTCCTTTAACTTCTTTTTATTGCTTAATAGCTATAGTGAGGACTTCCAGTACTATGTTAAATAGCAGTGGCAATAGTGGGCATTCTTATGTTATTCCAAATCTTATTGGGGAAGTTCCCAATATTTCCCCATTCAGTATGATGTTGCCATTGAGTTTTTCATAAATCACTTTGATTATATTATAGAATGTTCCTTGTGTGCATATCTTGCTTCTAGTTTTTATTGAATGCTTTCTCTGCATCTATTGAGACTATCACATGATTTTTTCCTCACTTTCTTAATGTGATGTATCACATTTATAGATTTGTGTATGTTAAACCATCCTTGCATATCAGGAATAAATTCCGCCTGATCTGGGTGAATGATGTCTCTGATGTATTGTATATTCTGTTGGCTAGTATTTTGTTGAAGATTTTAGTGTCTATGTTCATCATGGATATTGGTCTGTATTTTTCTCTGTTGTGTCTCTATTTTTGATATTACAGTGATGTTGACCTCATAGAAAGAGTTTGGAAGGATTGCCTCCCTTTCTCTTGTTTTGAACAGCTTATGAAGAATTGGGGTTAGTTCTACTTGGAATGCTTTGTAGAATTCTGGGCCTGGCCTTTTCTTTATTGGCAGGGCTTTAATTACTGATCTGATCTCTGCCTTGGACACAGGCTTATTTAGATTTGCTGTTGCCTCATGATTTAGTTTTGGTAGGTGGTATGTATCCTGGAATCTATTAATTTCTTGGAAGTCTTCTGATTTTTTGGCATAGAGTTCCTTGTAATAATTCGAAATTATTTTCTGTATGGTTGTGGTATCTGTTGTCATGTTCCCTTTTGCATCTTTGATACTCTTTTTTTTAAAAAAGATTTATTTTTATTATTTTTTTTATTGGAAAGTCAGATATACAGAGAGGAGAGACAGAGAGGAAGATCTTCTGTCTGATGATTCACTCCCCAAGTGAGCACAACGGCCGATGCTATGCCGATCCAAAGCCAGGAGCCTCTTCTGGGTCTCCCACGCGGGTGCAGGGTCCCAAAGCCCTGGGCTGTCCTTGACTGCTTTCCCGGGTCACAGGCAGGGAGCTGGAAGGGCTGCTGGGATAGAACCGGCGCCCATATGGGATCCCGGGCGTGCAAGGCGAGGACCTTAACCACTGCGCCACCGCGCCGGGCCCAGCATCTTTGATACTCTTAATTCTTGTCTTCTCTCACTTTGTGTGTATGTGTGTGTGTGTGGGAGAGAGAGTTGGGCCAGTGAGGTGTCTATTCTGTTTATTTTCTCAAAAACCACCTTGTTGTTCAATTGACTTTGTGTATTGTTCTATTGGTCTGTATTTGCTTTATTTCCTCACTTATTTTGATTACTTATTTTTTTGTTGATCTTGGGATTCTTTTGCTGTTATTTTTCTTCAGGTGTATGCTTTTCTATTTGGAACACATGCTGTATGCCCAAGCCACCAGGCAGTTCCTGCCGCTGATGTGGGTGCCTCTGTGCGTCTTCCCTCTCCTCTGGTGTTTTGCTGGTAATTTCTGTGTGGTCTGGGGCTATGGAGGTTACTGTGGTGCAGGGACACAGGCTATTTGCCCACTTGGGCTGAGATCTCCGACCAGTCCTGTCCACAGCCCAGGGAACTGTGCATTGTAGCAGATCTGTGTACTTTTGCCAAGACTGCTCAAAGTGTTCAGCTTGCCAGTTTTCCAGTTACCATGGTTGCTTGGGTGCGGATGTGCGGATGTGCGTGCCTCCACGGGTCTCCACTCCCCTGTGTTCTTTTGCTCCAGTGGCTCTTTCTGTTGGTGGCTGAGTGACCTGGGTTTTCACTGCAGCTCACACTGAGATTTGTGAAGCTGCTCCCCATCCAGACTCAGTGATCCAATATCTCCCTTCTGGGTGGTTCCAGAATCTCCCAAGGGGTTTATTGCACAAACCCTCCAGGTGTTTGTGAGTTCCTCCCTCTGCTGGATCACTCCCCTTTCCAATGGCTTGTTCCCCAGTGGTGTGGCCACCCTAATATGGGGATGGGCGAAGGGCGATTGATTTGGGGCCTGTGGATTTCTGCACTAGAGCCTCCTTTAACCAGTGTTTTCTCCTATGCCTTTTTGCCTGCCACTGTGTTCTGGGGGAGGCTCCTGTTCTCTTTCCACTGGCTCGAAATTCACTAGGCTTTTGTCTGTGGTCAGGGTGCTTTCTTATAGCTCCACTATGCTCTCCTTCCTCTTGGGTTGCTGGCTGCATCTTTGGACATTTTCAGTAGTTTCCCCCCATCTCTGTGGCTCCTACTTCCCTCTGGCGGCCTCCAGGGAGCTTCATTTACCCCACCCAGTGGTTTTTCTTCTTCAGCTCTTTATGCCACCTAGTTTTGTCTCCTAGTTCTCTCCGCACTCTGCCACCCTGTTTGACCATCTTGTCCCCTATTTGTGTTTGGTTTTATGAAGCACATTTGTACAGAAAATTATCATGGCTACCATTGTTTAGTGTATTCAGGAAACATCTACAAATTCTGAGAATCTTTTCCAATTTAGGGACACTTGTCAAAGACAGAAAGCAATAAATTTTGTGTTCTCTCATATCATTGGCAAATCAGGGAAAAATTTTAATAGGCCTACTGCATTGTTACTGTAAATTAAAAACTGTCCTGAAACACTCTAATGATCAAATATGTAATAATCAAAGAAAATATCATGTTTTCATGCTTTTTCACCAATATCATGCTGAAAGGAAAACACATTTATTTATTACCTTGCCAAAAAGGAGTCGGAGTTTATGTTGAAATGAAAACTTTTCAAAATTCCATTCAGCAACAAAAAGATTTATACATTTTTGTAGCATGGTTCAATTTGGTTATTTTTAAAAATTCTAAATAAAATGTTATATAAACTGGCTACAAAAATTATGAACAAATATGTAAAAATGATCTAAGTATTTTTAGTAAATTTAGGCTTTTCAACTATAATGTGAATTTCATATTAATAGTACTAGGTTGACATGAGATATTAAGTATACTTACACAGATGGAGTTTTCAAATTGATACGCTTTTGCTTCAAAGTGTAATAAACTCTTCTAAAGAAAATGAAAAATTTTGTTTAAGTGTATGCAAATAAAAGAGGAAAACTAGGATCAACTGATAGTTGGGTTATTTAAAACTTTTTATAAGTTTAGAAAAATTCAGATGTGTGAAATGACTGCTATTAAATTATATGTAAATTTTATGGGCTCTATAAAAACAGGTCAGGATGTATGATAAAAATGCAGTTCCTAGGTTGAGACATTTTAAATGCACAATGAATTTTGAAAGCTTAGGAAGGAAAGGATTATAAGACCTCATTAATAATGCTTCTAGAGCTTACATGTTGAAATGATTATTTACATATAAAGAGTTGCTATTTATTGAGCTCATGCAAAATATCAAAGAAATAATCACTGGTTATAAATGAAAATATCTTTTTGGTCAATAAACCTTATACCTAATGCACTGAGTAATTATAATCATTTCAACTTCTATCACTCACCATAAATTTCCCTCCATGCTGGCTGCCTGGTAAAATACTTTTCCATGGAATGATCACTGGTACTTCATTTAGTTTAGAGGAAAAGTTTCATAGATGAACATATTCAAAGATGAATAGGGAATAGAAAATATAGTTTTGCAGCAGGCACTAAAACTCAAGTAGGGAAAATTTGAAATAATTTTTTAAAGATTATCATCCAGTTGGCAAAGTACTTAAACAAAATAGAGTATCAGACTTCTATATTATTAACTATGTTTATATAATTTATATGAAATTGACATCTTGAAACCTGATTATTTTTATAGCACTGGTCAATACTCCTGAAACAGAGTGGTCTTTATGTTTTCTACTTGTAGTCCTTTTTTAGTGGAGAATTAAGCTTCAGACTGTAAAGAAAACTAGACGCATGTCATCACAAAAGTTAAAAGAAAAATAAAAGAAGGAAAAGGGAGAGAGGAAACTATTGTTATGCTCTTAAAACTGTATATGTAAAATATATGAAATCTGTTCTCTTCAAAAAGAAAATTGATCTATATCAACTACAATAGATTTAATTTTTATTTAGTTTGTTATTAAAATGATTGGTTTGACTTTATACACAGTATATAACAATGAAAAACACTAGGCCAAACCTATGAGGTCTTGCTTGGTTTTAGTTGTCTGATACATGTGTCTTTATGGATTGTGCTTCCTTTAGCAATGATTGCTAGGTGGAACGGTAAGGAAGTTTGAAAAAGAATGTTTATGGAAAAATAAAACCAACGAGAACATTAAAAAACTCTCACTGCAAAGCCAAACCCAGCTTCCTGTCATTGGACAGGCAATTTTTCCACACAGCAATCCAAATACATCTGGACATGGACAAAAATGGTGACACAGCCGCAGGGTAAGGGTAGTTTTGCTCACTGGTGTGTCCTTTACAGGCAGTAAACAACGACAAAACTGCAGTGCACACTCAACAAACACATCAGAAGAATTAGTTGAGGAAAATCCATAAATCTGTTATCCCTTTTTGTTAAAAAAATATTTTCTGTAAACATTATATGAATATAATTATGTGTGAAAAATATCTGCATTAAGTTACCATTACAATTGTTATTCACATGTAATTAAAACATGTTATAAATTTTGAAAAATAATTATTTGAACATAGAAAGTAGTCTCTTGGCAGAAATATATCTCTTAATGAATATTGCTTGACTGAGACCCAGAGTAGCATCAAATTAATTCTTACTTAACAGGCATAATTTTTAAGAGTCTTTGTTCACATGCTAAGTTGATAGCAGTAAAAAGACTTGTGTTAAAGCAATGTCAGTTCTGTGAAATTTTTAAATTGCATGTCAAAAATATAATGATTCATCATGGAAAATGATTCTTAATTTGTAGTCATTACATTAGGTTCTTCTTTAATTTTGTTGAAAGCAAAGAAATAGAAATCCAATTAGGTGGCATTAACATGTGAAAGTTTGTCTTTGGAATAATTCACATTTTCAATGTCAATTCCAGTGTTTAAAAATGTTGCATTTGAGATATCTAATTTTACTCTCTAAGATAATGGTTCATAAAATCAGAGACAAATGAGATTTTTCTTTTGTAGAGTCTTAAAAAGCAATTGTGACAAAGAAGCAGAAGAGTTCTGAGTCTGCACACATAAAGAAAACATAAGGAGATAAATGTGTCAATTACCCTCATTTAATTAGTACACTTATACATAGATATCAAAACATCACTGTATCCCATTATTAATTTTAAAAATAAAAACATATTAAATATTGTGGAAGTCAAGTAAATGATCAACTACAAAAAGCAATCTGGAAAGATAATAAGAAATGATAAGACTAAACATCTTCAATTTTTTTAGTTAAATTTGTTTCATTGATAATCTTTTGAAATCTTTTAAAAATATAGACTTTTGTAATGTAAATTATATTAATTTTGGTTTCATGGCATCTACCAACTGCTAAAAATATCATCTGTGATTATTCAAAGTATCAATAACAAAGTTACATGAGGACAGACAGCTGCACAGCACACTACTAAATATCCTCATTACACCAGTAAGAAGGCACTCTCTAGATAAAGACATTAAATAATAAAATCATCCAACTGAGTTACCATGAAACATATCTTGCTTTAAGAATTATCCTCAAAAGTCTGGTATACTTCCTGGGCAGAGTTAGTGAACCTTCATAGTTTCTGAGAGTTCTAACTTTGATTCTAGTTTCCAAGGATACTGTATTGAATATTACAACGTTTCTACTGCTCAAATTCTAGTACGATAAAGATAATTCATAAATAACCAGTAAGCTTAAAAAAAAAAGCAATGTGGCTTCTTAAAATGACTAAGTGATATAAAGAAACTAGAACAAATTATAAGGGGAAAAAAAAATATTTGGGTGCCTGTTTTAGGTTAAACGCTAGAGGACCCTTTTAGTGACTCAAACTGAACTCCAGTCACCATGAACAATCATGAAGTAGTAAAAAAGGTGATAAAGAGAAGTTGGCTGTGAAGAATAATAATTATTATAATTATTAGGATGGGAACTAGTCAGGCTATTTTGTAGTCCTAATTTTCCCTAGGTGAATTTGCCATTCTTACATCCCCAAAAAGATGCACTAAAACCAGAGGCCAAACATGGGCCTACCATCCTATAGTTGTAGATCTAGGCTAACATATAGAAGGCTGGAAGGTAATGAAAAATTGTGGGCCTAGAATGATGTCCCAAAGGCTAAATCCTCGCCTTGCATGTGCTGGGATCCCACGTGGGCTCCAGTTCATGGCCCAGCGGCCCCGCTTCCCATCCAGCTCCCTGCTTGTGGCCTGAGAAATCAGTCAGGTATGACCAAAGCCTTGGGAACCTGAACATGTGTGAGAGACCTGGAAGAAGCTCCTGACTCCTGGCTTTGGATCGGCTCAGCTCTGGCCGTTGCGCTCACTTGGGGAGTGAATCAACGGATGGGAGATCTTTCACTCTGTATCTCCTCTCTGTAAATCTGCCTTTCCAATAAAAACAAATCTTTAAACAAACAAAAAAACATATGCTGCCAGGCCACCTCTCTTTGCTGCTTGTAACACTGAACATACTAGAAAACCATTTAAAAGGGCATAAGAAAGAAAAAAAAGAGTTAATGACTAATGCAAATTCACAACTATAAAATCAAAAAATTGTTCTATACTCAAATATAATAAGCTAAGCAAAAAAAGGAAAGCACAAAAATTGAGTTTATCTATAGGAGAAGCCATATGTAGAGTCCCCTCAAAAAAGATATAAACAAAATTTGGGAAAATATTACTGAATATTCATTCTTTATGGCAATTCAGTGCAATGGAAATTAAATCTGTACGAAACTGAAAAGTATAGAATGTGGTTAAGCATAGTAGTAACTTGTCAGATAAGAGCAGACACAAGTAGGAAAATCAATAATAAGCTATAATAATTTGTGTAAAAATCAAAACTTACTTGAATTCATGTACTAAAGTTATTGCAACTTAATTTTCTGAATGTTAAATGTCCACAGTTGGCAAGAGTGCCCACCCCCCCCCCCCAAAAAAAAAGCTAACACACACTCCAATCCTCAAGCATTTCAATACATTGCTTCTGGAATTTAATTTGTACAATCTTTGTGTATTACAATATGATGGGCTTGCATTTAAGAAATGGTGGAAAATTGGTCCAAACAGAATTAATAAATATCAAGGAGGGTATTTGACATCATGGTTGAGATGTTGCTTGGCATACCTGTCCCCTGTCAGAGTGCCTTGCTTCTGCTTACAGTTCCGCTTTCCAGCACTGCCCAACCGGGAGGCTCAGGTCCCGGGTCTGTCACCTACCTGACATACCTGAAATGAGTTCTGACTCCTGGCTTCTGCCTGGCCTAGTCCCTGCGCTTGAAGACATTTAAAATAACAAACAGAATCCCTGTTTCCTTTTTTTAAAAATGCATATTTTAAATGATACATTATAGCAGGTGATTTTGCTTAGCCAAGATGATCTATTAGCAGACAGGAAGGAGCAAAGATGATGAGAAAGCAGAAACAGTCTGAAAAGACCATGAAGAATGGTTATAGCTTTAATTTTGAAATGCTCTGTAACGCTGGACACAGCTCACTATAACTTGCTCTATCTACTTTGCAAAATGGCAATGGCAGAGGGCAACTGATTGCTTCAAATGTCATTCCTACTAGTCAATTTTAAGATCTTAAGGCATTCCATAACTATCTTATTTTTTAAGCTTCTAATATTAGAGAAATATTTTAAGCTAGACTGTAAGGAACTTGGTGGTAGTTATTTGTTAACTTGGCTCTTTCCAGCATATTAGCCTTGCTTTGTTTATAAAACAAAAAGGTTACAAATGTATACACTTTATAAAACAGATGAAATTGGTAGAACATCTGTCTCCCCTCACGTTTCTTCAATAGTGAGCGTGTATGTAAGGAAAAGACTGGGATTATACCATACTCTTGTAGTCTATATTTTTCATGTAGTTCATTATATAGTAAGGAACTCATCCATTTACCAATTTATTTACCAAATGGTCTCAACAGTCAAGGCCTGGGCCGGCCAAAGCCGGGAGCCTGGAACTCCCATCTGGTATCCCATATGACTGGCCGGGCCCTGAGCATTTAAACCATCAACTGCTGCGTTTCCAGAATAAAACATGGAGCTGGACCAGAACCGGAGCAGCCTGAGCTCAAAGCGGGGCTCTCATGGGGGATGCCAACTTGGAGGTAGCTGCTTAACTCTTGGACCATAGTCAGGATTCAGAATTTAAAGAGACGAATGCTCTACACTTTCCAGGTGACTCGGAGGGCTACATTATTCACATTCACAGATGGGGAAACAGATTCAGGAAGGTCACGTATTTTACACAAGTCTTTAAGAGGCTCCCTAATATCAATACTTTTCTCTTTCCTGTAAATAATAACAATTCAGGCCTCAGCTCAAAGTGTGCCCTGGCATCGCTGGAACGTTCTCTCTCCTTCCCACAATTCAGATCCCAAAACAATAGCAATGATCCCAACAGGCACAGCCCTCATAGTCATGTTTTCTCTTGTGGTGAGCACGGCGCTGTGACAAAGGCAGGTCACCTACAGGAGTTCCAGGCTTTTCCGGGCCAGGCCATACCAGGCGAGGCCCAGGGGGTGGCATTTTTTTCTGGCGCCACCGGCCGGCCTTCCAAACCAGCCGGCGGCCCTCAGGCCTCGCGCCAGGTGAAAGCCGCGCTGCTCCTCGGGCCGCAGCCCCGTTAGCGTTGGAGGCATCCCAGCTGGGCCGGCCTCGGGGCTCCAACCGTCTCCTCTCCGCCCCCGGCACGCGGGCCGCCGCCGGGTCCGCCCAGGGCGCGGGGCCCGGGGGTGGAGCGCACCGGCTCGGGCCCGCCGGCCTCGCCGCCGAGACTCGGGCCCTCGGGCCCTTCAGCCATGGCGCGGGTGCTCATCGTGGGCGCCGGGCTGACGGGAAGCCTGTGCGCTGCGCTGCTGAGCAGGGAGACGGGCCGGCCTCTGCACCTCGCCGTGTGGGACCAGGCGAGGGAGTGCGGTAGGTGGTGGGGGTGGTGTCCACCTGGGAGGAGGCAGGTGTTTCCGGGCGTCTCAGGTGTCCTGAATTCGCACGCTCATTATGAAGAAAGAGAAATATCCATGCTCGGCTCCCGGGCCCTGCCGGCGCTGCGCCCTGCGTCACGTGCGGGGAGGTTTCCCGCGGCCGCGCGCAGGGCCCGGGGAGGGCGCGTGTGGGGGTGCGGACCCCAGGCCTCCGGGAGGGCCTCTGCAGGCGGAGCAAAGGGGTCCTCGACTCTTGCTGACCTCACCTTGCTGTGTTTCCGCCACAGCCGTTCCTGATGATGCCGCCCTCTCCTCTTGGCCCATCTGTGCCTTGGCAACTTTTCCCAGAATCTGAGGCTCCCAAGAGCACTCAGGAGACCAAAACTTCAGGGACATCTGATTTGCAGGATCCTGTCATCCTCAGGAATGACATTCTGGGAATGAGAAAGCCTGCCTTCTTGGATTCATTCTGGTCTTTTCATTTGTCCTTTGGTTTTGTTTATCCGTTACTGCCTTCTATGCAAGTTAACAAATAATGTAAAATTCGCACGTATTTGTGTGGGACTACGGGAAGACATTTTAAGAGAAGTAAGCCAGACACAGAAAGGTAATCACTGCTTCATCTCATTCATGTGCAGAGCCAAAAAAGTTCGATGTCATAGAGATTGAAAGAATGAAAAGCCTACTTATGGAAGGCTGGGGGAGGGAGAGAGGGGAAGGTTGGTTTTGAGGATGCCGAGTTACCTTTAGGTAAGAGGAAAAACCTTCTAGTACGGTGTAGGATGACTATGTTTCAGAAAGGCTAGAAGTTAGGATTTTCAACACCAAGAAATTATAACTGAGGAATAGATACGCTTACCAAATTGTTAATTATCTCATGTCCCTGTTAGATGACAAAGGTGTCAATTTAAAAGAATGTTTAATATATTTGTAAAATATCTGGAGCAAAGGGGAAGAATTATTTTGATTGAAAAAAATAAGCTCATTTTAAAGCACATTTCCCTTCGGATTCGTTCAGGCGGAAGAATGTCTACAGCCCGCAGTCCTCATAGTCCACAGTGCACGGCTGACCTGGGCGCTCAGTACATCACCTGCACGCCACACTATGCCGCAAAGCACCAGAGGTGAGTTAGCAGCAAGGGGTGTTCGACATACCGAGATGCAAATCATCCATTTTTTTTTTTGCACAAACTGACTGTCATTGTTGTAGATGGCGTTGTACCCACTGGAGCCAATACAAAGGAGTGCTATGAACTGATCAGATTTGAAAGTCTTTATTGCCCCTGGCAGTGGTGGAGAGTGGGTTCATGGGTTCGTGCCCCAAAGATCTCTCCACCTGAACTACAGAACAGAAAGGTTTATAAAGACAGACACCCCAAACCAGGAGGGGGTGTGGGGGACTGAGTTAACACTGGGATAAACAATGCAAAACAAAACTACTGCTTGTTGCTGAACCAAGTGGAACTCATTTTTCTCCTTAGTTATGCTTGAACAGCCCAGCCAGAGGGGTTCCAGCATTCTTGCCCAGCAGTATGAGTTCTGAGCTGGGCTGCAGTCTCACACAAGATGGAGCCCAGCTCAACATGGAGGCCCATGTTAACCAGGTTATTTCAGTAAAGAAGCTGTGGCATTTGCCTATTGGGATTGCGTGAAGGTTAATTGGGAAGATGCATGGATTAAAGTAAGGGC